TTATTTTTGTTAAAGTAGTTTCTATTTTTTCAAAAGTCAAATATGGTGACAACTTTGAATCATTATTAAACTAATCCATTAAATAAAAAAAATCAAAACTAAAAATATTTCATATATTGAACATATCAATTACACATTAAAAATCTGATAAACATTCATTACATGATAACTATCTAAAATATCTGTTAATAACAAATACAACCATCTATTACCTAATAACCATCCAAAAATATTAATAAAAATAACCATCTATTACATCATATTAAAAATTAATTTGGTAAAAAATAAAAATGTAAAAGATTTAACATTTTTATACAATTTTATCTTTGGTGGGTAAACATAATTTTTAAAAATTTAAAAATAATTTTTTGATATTTATTTTTGTCAAATTAGCATATATTTTATCAAATTAACGATTTTGTTCTTGAAATGAAGTAACGGTGTCTTCAATTATACTTATTTGAAACTAGATTTAAAATTTATGATCAAATATATCACAATTGAAAAGTTATGTACTAAGGTAACATAATTCCCAAACTATAGGGATCTTTTAGTGCAATTCACCCATAATAATAATAATAAACTTGCAGTATACTTTTATGAATTTTCTACCGTACACATATTAATAATAACTAGAGAATAAAACAAAATAATAATAAAATTAATGTTATAATGTGTACTTAGCTTAAGTGTATGAGCCTCCTCCCTTAAATTTATGGTCATGGGTTCAAGTTTTGTCTACCTTTTTGTGTAAATTTTTTAAAATAAAAAACGCTGTCACATGACATGAGGAGAGCAAAAGTTTCACTTAGAGAGAGAGAGAGAGATAGATAATAATAATATAGATTTTGTGTATCGCACCTTTAAATTGGGTAATTATTCAGTATTTTCGAAGTATGAACACGTGATGTTTCATAAGATTTTGATTGATAAAGAGGGGTAGGAGCCCAAGATTTATGTTGAGGATGGGGAACAACATGAGGGCTAAGTAATTGGTGATTGACTTGGAGTATGGTCACGTGGTGTTTTGGGATTGTTAAATAATTTCCCCTATAAATTATTCCAACCATTACATTTATATAAGGGTAAATTACAAATACATCCCCTGAGGTTTGTTTAAAATACAAATTGCCCACTGTGGTTTGAAAAATTACAAATATTCCCTTATTAGAATTTTTTATTTAACAGAGATAACAAAAAAATAAAATTCATAATTGTTCTCCTATACAATAATAAAATTACCTAAATTATTAATTGAAACATAATTTTAATATCATTAAAAACTGTTAATTGACTTGATGATTTATTAATGAAATGGACGATTTATTATGAGATTAGAAACTTCAGGAGATGGAATGTAATTTTCAAAGCTACATGGGACGATTCGTATTTTAATCAAACCTTAGAGGTGTATTTGTAATTTACCCTTTAAATAAAGGAAAAAGTCTAATCATAAGTTACTAATGAGTAAAATCAAATTTAAAAAAAAAAAAAAACAATTCTAGGGTTACCTAATGTTTTACACAAGTGTGTAGAATTGTGTAAAAAATTAGGTAACTATATCTTTAATTAAAAAAAGGTGATTATTCCCAAAACAAGTAAAATAATTAACCCCTATCTTTTTCCTTCTTATTCTTTTTTTCCTTGTTACTTACATTATTTGCCACTTGAATTGACTATACTTAACAACGATGTCACGTCTAATTAAAAATTAAATACAAAAAATTGTGTAAATATAAATGTGAGAGCTAGGGGACAAACACCTCCCTACCATCTAATAAAATACTTTTGTGAGTACAAAGACTCTTGCACCGATAACATGTGATTAGGCAAAACTTATAAAATGAGTCGGAAGTACCAGCGTGATCATGTGCTCATCCAATTACATGTATTCAATTGTCATTCTATTATTAGTTAGACACGTGATAATTCAATATACCAAATAGTTTATTGTGATTAGGGGAATTTTGGAATTGAAGGGTTATGTTAGAAAAGCTTTTCGTGTGATATTGGTGTTTTTAGAAGATGACTAAAAGTATTTGGTTTTTAATTTATTTTAAATTACATTATCTCTCAATTTTTTTATATATTTTTAAAAAAATAATAAAAAAATATTAAAAATTAATTTTTAACAAACTTCCCAACGAGACGGCAATGTGACAAACCTTTTTTTGCTTTGGTTGTTTGCATTATGCCAAAGAAAAAAAATCAAAAGTGCACAACACTTTCAACTTTGTGAGATGTGCAATTAATGCATAATGTAACCAACCCTTAGCCACATTGGACCAATGATATTGCACTACTTTTATAAGCCACAAAACATCTCATGTGGTTGAATTACCTTTTAGGGGAAAAACCCAATGAATCCAAAAGCAATTGTCAAAACCACAAGCAACTACTTCATATCATAATCATCAAGATGGTGGTTATATTCTCTTCACCTTACTTTTATCATTCTTCATTCTTATCCATTTCAGAACTAAAATTACGGGGGGTTAATAATTTTTTTAACTTATTTAAGTTATTTCAGTCTAATAAATTGTAAACAGTAATTGTACCAAACAATCTAATACAAACTCTCAAAATAAAGAAAAACAAAAGAAAACTACAAGCAACTTAGATAAGCTTCTACACCAAACAATCCCATTATCAAAAGAATATTTTCTTTCTAAATCAAGAGATTGTTTATTTTGGCACTCACGCTATTTTGAGGATGCAAACTTGAGGGAAAATGCAATGGTATTTGGGTTATCCAATCAATAAATATCGCAAATGAAATTAAATGAACCTTCCTTATTTCCCACTAACATAATAATGTAGTCCCCCACCCAACAAAAATATTTGGTAGCTCTGGGGAAACTCTAATTATGTGGCACTAGTTCATGTGTGCTTATTGTTATTTTTTTTATTAATGTTTTTCATCTTTTTTTGACTTGTCAACTATGAAATTTCACATTTATTCTATATACTATACCCAATATTTATTAAAACTTAAAAACTCACAATCTTGTCCAAAAATAAAATGATAATATATTAGTTTGGGAAGAATTTTTTTTAGTGACTTTTAAACTATTTTAATCTAACTAAAAAAATTTCATTTGGGATGAACTTTTAACTCTTCTTTTTTTTTTTAATTTTGTTTGAAAAAAGATGAAATAATTATAATTTGAATGCGACATTTATCTTTTTAATTTTTTAAGTCTATTTTGTCTTTTAATAGATTAAATTAGCTTCAACCATATTACCAAACAATCAAAAAGTAAAAAAAAAAATAACTTCTTTTTTTTTTTAAGGACGAAAAAAATTAACATATTGTGTGATTGTCTTTTCCTATCATTTATTTTTCTTTCGGGTAAGTTACGGTTTTCACTTACAAAATTTCACATGAATTTTGCTTTGATCAATTTTCTTTTAATTATAATAATTAAATCCCCAAAATTCAACCCGTGTTTCAATTTCATCAACCAATCATTGTTAAAACAATAATGATAGAGACCTTTTTTTTTTTTTTAGAGGATCTTCATAACTTCTAAAGTGATCCACACCACTCATGATGTGGGCCCCACTTATGAGTGGTGTGAATCATTTAAGGATTGTGGGGATCCTCCAAAAAGGGGGTCTCACTCATTTTCTTTGTTAAAATTTGAATGGAAAGTGCATAGAAAAGCACAATTCAAGGGAAAATTCTATTTTCACACACTGACTAATTTCAGTACACATCATTTCTTAGTATATACATTTATTAATTTGATTATTAATTATTCTTCTCAATCCATACACTAAATGCTTTAATTATACCCTTCACTTGTACCATTGTAAAGACACCACCTCAACTCTCCTTCCTCAACTCTTCTTGCACACACTTGTTGAAAATTGTAGATTCAAACCACCATTCATAAAACTTCCTTATCCTTCCCTTTTATTTACAGAATCTGCCACTCTACTCTCTTCACTCTCTCTCCCACTCTCATCCATGGCCTCTCTACAAATTCATCCAAATTATCTTCAATTCTGTCGTTGTTCTAATTCAATCCCCAAAATTCCCTATTTTCCAAACCCCAATTTGATTCCTTGTATGCAATGCAATTGCGAAATATTATTTTCTTTTTTATATTCTGGTTGCGGATTAGGTTATATATATATTGTTTTGTTTATGAAGTTAGGTTTTTGTTTTTGGTTAAGCCCATTTTTTTAATTGAATTAACTGAACACTGATTCTCTGTTATTGCATGAATTTCAACTTCAACAATCAATATATATGTACGAATTTGTGTGTATTTATATAATTAATAGAGAGAAAATAAAATGTGACAGATTGAATGATCTTGATTGATAATCCTAAACACCAATGAGATTGAACAAGTTTTTGTTTCTATTATTTTAACACAAGTGTGTAATGTGGTGTAAAAATTAGGATTTTTTTTACTAGAAGGATGTGTATTGAAAAAAAATTTATTTTAAAAAAATTGTACACAGAGAAAGTTGAGATATAATATTAAAAGTGTACTGTATTTTAATGTCCATTATAATCATTTTACTTTAATGTATGATTGTCATTAAAATAAAATTTCATTGAATATGCACTGTGATAAGTAGGCATATGAAAATAAAATTCCCCCAATTCAAGGGCATTAGAAGAAACAACAAATTGTATGACAAATTACATTTTTCACTCTCTAATGTCTACTGAAATTTCATTTTGATCCCTCATATTTTAACTATGACTCAAAGTCAAACCCATTGAAATCTGACTAATGACTTGACTGTTGCAATTAGAAGATGAAAGATTACAGTAAAATCTAGGTGAAAGATCAACAATGAAAAGTGTATAATTTATAATTTTCTTTTTTCTTTTTTCTTCACAAATCAAATATCGAAACACAACCCAAAAATTTCACCAAGATGTCAACCAAGGCCCAACTCACTCTTAATACTACATAGAAAGGTCAAAGGAAAGGCAAAGAACAAACAAACCATGACAGAACAAGCAGAGCCTCAGATTTTGCAGTGCATCAATATACCAAAAATTGACAATCTTTTCATTATTATGCACCCAATGATGCAGGATAGTATATCAAACTTATCATAGTCCAAGAAAAGGGTCGCATAAATTTCGACAAACTAACTAAAAAACCATCCAAAAAAATAAAAAAAAATGAACATTGGAAAGGGAGTATTATTGGGAAATTAAAAATCTGAGGAAGCAGAAATATGAAATTGAAATAAATAGTTAACCCTGGCCTCCAAGTTCCAAAAGTAGGGTGTGATTAACTTTATCAGCTACTGGGCCAATAAATTGAATTGGACCTGTAACATAAAAGTTCACCAAATGTAAGTTTTTGGATGGTGTCGGGAAGACAAGTCACTAAAAATATGCTATAGATTTGACCAAGCTATTAAACTTTAAAATTCTGAAGTTGAAGATGTTGTGGTTACAAGAAGATCAATAGGACAAGGGATCAGCTTAAGAAGCACGAACATCCCAATATCTGTCGGACCCATGTCTAGACTCGGACATGCTTATGACACTTGGGGAACAGTCGTCTATCGCTTACAAAGTTTGAATTAACTTAGAATCCAATGACAACAGAAAAACAACATAAATTTATACATATTCTCCACCTTTAAATTTTTAAAAATTATTATATTTGAATTAAATATTCAAATACATGATATAATAATTATTATATGTTATAAATATATAAAACTATATATTTTTACCTTGTCCATCATTTTGTTTTTAATGTCGGTACGTTTGTGTCAAGTCACATGTTCGTGTCCGTGTTTCTTAGGGATATTGTTGCTTCAGTGACCAAACCCAACTAAACACCCATGAAGGTACTAGAATGAAAAGATGACTGAAGCAAAATTCAAAAAGCGTACCAGGACTGATATATCGGTTGTTAATGGCCCACTCTTCTCTCAAGGATGCAAATTTCTTGAATGGAGCACCTGAATCATTCACCATTTCAAAATGAAATTATTGGTTGGTACAAGCTTCTAAAAAATGAAGACATCAAAGTTAGTTATTATGCAAGAAACGACCCTGCAGCTTTCAGCATGATAAAAGACCACAGCACGAGAGCAAACAAGTCCGCATGCAGAAGAGCAAAAGACCACAGCATGAGAAGAAAACAAGTCCGCATGCAGAAGAGCAAAAGACCACAGCACGAGGGAGCATAAAAAGAACTCTTACCGTCAAGCTCGACCATTGCCTTCTTTATCACAGGCTTAAATTTACCTGCAAATGAAATAGATTAAATATTTTAGAGAACATAACAAAATTGAAAGTTTATTGGTTCTATTCTCAAATCATGATTCCCTCATATTCTGACCCTTTGTTTGATTATAGTTTTCAAAATATGATTTTAAATCACATTTCAAAACACATTTGAAAACATGTTTGGTAAACCAAGAGTTTTTGAATTTTTTGGTCTACCGGGTTATCTGTCCAGACATCCACCCAGACAATTTTTGAATTTTTAAGTCTACCCGGTCGTCCTCCTGAACATCCTCCCGAACATCTGGCCAGTTGTCTGGACTAGCCAATTGACTGGAACAATGCATTTTTATTTATTTTTTTTTGGCAATTGCAACCTTTTTATATATTTGTTTTTTATATTTTTAGACCAAAATGGCAAATTATTTGGCCATTTATTTAAAATTAACAAAAAAAATTAAATAAAAATTAATTTGTCATAGTAATTTTTTAAAAATAAAAAAAGATTTTTAAACAAAACAATGAAAATTTTTTTTTAACCAAATATACAATCAAAAGTAATTTTAAAATACTAACTGAATATTTTTTAAAATATTTTAAACAAAAAAAGATTTTCGGAATTTTTTTATTTTTTAAATAAAAAATATTCAGCTTGCTTGTTTTTGGAACCAAAAACACTTTTCAGAAAATCATACTTTCTTATTTTTCGTATTTTTTTGTTTTTATTGAATTTTTTTAATATCTTAAGCATTTTTATTTTTATTTTTATTTTTAGACACACCTAACATAAATACACATAAAAAGTATAATTTTGTGAAAAAAATCTTTTAAAAATTCACTAAACACAAAAAAAAACAAAAATAATATGAGAATTCAATATATTTTTCATATTTTTATGTATTTATTAATTTTTTAAAATATTTTTTTACAAATTTTTTACTTTTTTAGATGCAACTTAAAGTAAAAAAAAATGCTTGAACTTTTAAAAATATTCACTAAAAATAAAAAAATACGAAAAAACAAAAAACTCAGTTTTTAAAAAACTTAATCCAAAAAATTCAAACCAAACATTTTTTTTTTTCAATAATTATTTTTTTGAATTGAATTTTAAAAAGAGTTTGGTTATGAGTTTTGAATAGAATTTTTAATAGAGTTTTGAATTGTGTATTTAGTTATGACCTATAAGTTTATGAATTAAGTTTTGAAAACTCTTTTCAAAACTCATAACCAAACAACTTTTCTTATTTTAAAACTCATTTCAAAAATTCAAAACTCATAACTAAACAATTTTTTTTTTTTCAAATCATGATTCAACAACTCATAAACTCAAAATATAACTCCATTATCAAATCATGATTCTGAAACTAAACCAAACACAACATAAAAGCTTCCACTTGATTGTGAATTCCGTTCTATGAAATTCAGATTTACAGTAGTATAGAGCATGACTGAACATATTGATGTTGAAGATATATGCAAGTTTAGAAGAAAAGGCCAGGAAGGTGTTTGAAAAATATGATGAGAACATAGAATCAGAGACTATACCATGCCTCCTCTCCACGTCCATTAATGAAGTCAATGCTGTTCCACCTACAGTCCATTCTTCAACCGGAGCAGCCAAATTTCCAACCTGGAGTCACATTAAAAAATAATTGCATGAACATTTATATAATCGATTAATTGTTGAGCTACAACAATCTTCATTGTCAAAGCGAATGAAACAAAAACTTGAACTCGAAAATCACAGAAGGTTATTATTATTGATAGAAAACTAAAATGATAGGCCGTGAAGAATAAATTTGACCAAAATGAACAAGGAAATAAAAATGGAGGCACAAACCGATGATATCAACCCAGTTTTTCCACAATGAAGGAGAGCTCCAGCCCCATAACCCAAAGCATAACAGTATGTGGCATCGAAGTTAGATGGCAAACCACACCTGCCTTCATAACTGCATGGTGAAAAAATCATAACAAACGCAAAGATCAGACAAAGTATTCTTTTTCCCACAAATGATTTCAGCAAACACAAATTACTCTATGGATTTATCATCGTCAATACCCATCAGGTTACAGACAAAGGCATTTATGGTTATAGACAGATAATAGTACCCGAAAAAGTGTGACTGGCCTTTGAAGTGGCCCTTATATGCACCCTTCTGCTTCCTATGCTCCAATTCAGTTTCAACCATTTGAATAAACATTTTCTCCGTTTCTATTTTTGCAACCTGAAGCACAACAAACCATTACCATATTGCCTGAATAATATAACACAAAGAATTCATAGACAGAGACAGTGACAAATATAAGCACCTGGACATTGCCATGTGGATCTCTCTCAAGCATTAATTGTTCCTGAATTGCTGGAGGTAGAAGATCAAAAAGTTTCAAGGATTGCTCATTAAGTTTCTTTTTCCAAAGACCACCTTCATCTACAACCTCCTGGGCCAAAATTTCGTTTAGTTCTGCAATGAGATGCTGCACCTGCAATTACACAGTAAAATTACAAAAGCAATGTAACAGTCAACAATCACATAGAATGTGTATGGATGACACATAGCAGAACACAATAAATCTCATGATTCAAAATTTTACCTCAGGAATAAAATCAATAAGTCCTTCTGGTATAAGTATCACGCCATAGTTATAACCAAGTTCTCCTCGTTTGCATATCACATCAGCTATGTAGTCTGATACATTTTTCAAAGTCTCCTTCTTTGCGGCAACCTGCAGCAAGGTAATTAAAATATTAAACTATGATAACCTACTCCACTCAAACATAAGCTTCTTACAAATGGAGCAAATCAACAAAATCTACAATCTGATCAAAATTTGGAGGCTTTAAAACAACCAAAACAAGACTCTTAAGCCTACACAAAGGAGCCACATCAAACACAATGGATCCAAACATCAATCTTTCCGCCTAGACTTCCCTACCATTCCCCTCCATCACCATCCAAGCAGGACTCCAGCCACATCTATGTGAAACAACCACTTCATCCCATACAGCGCCAAAATCAGCGGCCCTCAAATCCCTAGCAACATTACAATAGTTCAGAAAATCAGATACTGACCATTAAACTTACAAATGGAACACCAATTGTTAAATATCTATCGCAGCCTAATAAGGTTATCAATCGTAAGGACTTCTCATCGCCCTCCTACTTCCTAAAAGGCCCCATAAAAAGATTTGGCATCAACAACGTTTCATCTCCACACCACATTTCATATCTGCCCTCCTCCCCACCTTGACTCTAACAAATCTCATAAGTCCCAAACTTGCTGGATACCCTTCCACAACCCACTCCCATGAGAGGTAACCTCCAAAGAAGTCCAAGCACCTCATGAGTTACTGTATTGGGCCAACACCAGTAGTCTTCTCCAATATCTATATCCCTCTTAGATACAAAGCTCCATCGTCACTTCCCCAAAAAATTTGTAACTAAGTGAATTCTTCATCAAGTATGTGCAGCTAAGTGAGAGAATTCATTTGGAAATAGCACAATGAATGGACACGGAGGTACCTCTTCTCCAATAAGAGTAATATTTGGATGAGTTTGTAAAGCACACTCCAATGTAATGTGGGAAGCAGCACGCCCCATCAGCCGTACAACTGCAAACAGGTTAAAAAATTAAATACGACGTATGATGGAAAGTATATGCACACGATATGAGTAATGGAGCCTGGAGGAAAAAACTGTTGAAATAAAAATAAGTCTTCTTAAAAAAGGAAAATCTGGTGTTCACTAACTATTATGCTAAATTACAGATATAGCTTGTCATATAAATGGAGACCCCTTCTTTGTTGAAAAAAAAAAAAAAAAAAAAACTGCATGGCATGCAATGAACTGTGCTTATCTGAGGATTTTGAGATACAAGACTAGCCAGACAAGAAACTAAAGAACGTTGGTTGAGATGGTTTCACCATATGCAAGAGAGATCCATGTCTACAATAGTTTAAAGGATGATTGATATTGATGTTGAAAGGAATACAGGGATACAGAGGAGCAAAAATTATGAAGCTCAAGTTCGTGAGAAAGAGATGCATCCTATACATGCATGTGTAAATCATAACCAAAAAAACATAATGGTTGAAGAAGCTTTGAGTATTTCAATCTTCATAAAATATGCATAAAAATTTCTCATATTTATTAGAGGTAGAAGCTAAACAGCATTATATGATTTGCACTTAGACTTTGCGACGAGTGCACACCAATCTATCTACGTTACTGTAAAGCATTTCCGACACAACTCACTTAGAATTAGGATGAACCTCGAAAGAAAACAACCAAACCAGGATACAGTGGACGCAAAAAGAATCTGGTTACACATATAATGCTCTAGTTCTATTGTGCAATTTGCAGTAAGAATAAACAGCCATATGATGCAAAAAGGTCCAGTTAATTCAAATCCAGTTCCCCGTATACTTACAATGATAGTATTTTCCAGTTGAGCGAGCATCTATCATAACATTTCCTATCATTTCTGAATATATCTGCAAAATCAGAAAGACCAGAGAATGATCATTGTGCCATGGATTACCTTAGTTGTATGGAGACACAGTCCCTAATGACATTGATGATCAATATGGAGCTAATCTAATGTTCCATGAAAAAATAAAAATAACTCAAGCATGAACAAAATCAAAATTGGGAAAGAGAAAGAAAACAAAGCCAGGTTTCTTTTACTTACTATGAGAGAAAATTCAAGTGATTGAAACATTAAACTTTTACTAAAAGCAAAATGATGAAGGATATTATAAACTTCCAGAATTTAGGGCAAAGATCAGAAATAGTTATCTAATAAGAAAGAAGCTAGAAGGTGTTCGAATGTTTTCCATTAGTATATTAATTATAGTTGGTTTTATGTGGTTTATGTCATTTATATTGGTCATAAAAAAAACACCATAGCAAAATTGAGGGACATTATCATGTAACAATGCACAAGAAAATAAAAAAACCAAAAACTCAAGTGCCTGATTTGAACAACTGTTAGTTATTTGAATTGATCAAATTAATGCAACTATATATGAAATATTAAAGCATATAAAATTATAAATGTGATTGCTGAATGATATTGTTAGATTCACCTTGCATGCAGTATCAAATCCAAAACTTGCTGGAACCTCTTTGCATTTTAAGTCACCATCAATTGTCTTTGGACATCCAATAACCCGAGTTTTCATATTTTTACTCCTGAGTAGCATAATACAATAGACACCATCATAACAAAATGATGATATACAGAATTGTATAATTTATGAGAATCCAGTGACCATAATAGTTTGGTCCAAAAGCAAATACAACAGCTATCACATTTCCTTTATGAAAAATGAATAGTTCACCTAAAGTTTTCAGCAAGGAGGCAAGCATTTGTGTTTGAGTCATCTCCACCAATTACAACAAGCCCATCCAAATCAAGCTTCAATGCTGTTTCTTGAGCTTGCTTAAACTGAAATCATGTCCATGTAAATCCAGTTGGGCTAAACTTTGAAAATAACATAAAGAATCAAATCTAAGATTGTAAATCTATTTTGGTTAAAGTTGAGATGATAATTATATGTAATTTCCTGAGAAGCTACAAATGAGTATTACCTGCTCTGGAGTTTCAATCTTGTCTCTGCCACTGCAGATCATATCAAAGCCGCCCTGTAACCAAAAAAGTAATAATAATAATTACAACAAAATCAGACATCATCCAATCTTATTAGTTTGGAAGGAGCACACATCCTCAATGCTGCTATACTGCTTCTTCACGATTGTACGTTGTGCTTCAATTTTTTTTATTCAAACGAAAAGTAATCACATTTAGCAGGATTGCCAAGACATCACACCGACATCCTAAGCAAAACAAGCATCCTGCAATTTACCTATATCAATTTTTTCACAATTGTAATGGAAGTGTGCATAATGTTGTATTTGGCAGTCTGTCATTTGTGCCTTGGATTTGGAATTAGAGGCCACCTTAGTTCAAATTTTGAACCACTTTCCATCCCAATTCCAATTCCAATTCCGATTCCAGGGTGCAAATTCCGCACCACCAAACACACTTTTAGGCTACATTTGGATTTGTGAATTTGGGACATGTGGATTGAAATCCCAAGCTCAAATTCACCCCTCTTGTTTGGATTATCATTTTCAGTATAGATCAAGTTCTGCTCAATAAGTATGCTTATTTTAATGACCTTTGACTTCTGAATTTCAAATATTACCACTTCAAGCATAATTTCCCAAAAGTAGTTATTTCATTTTCAACCCATCAAAACTAACCCCACAAAAAAGTCCAGTTGCCTAATCTACAAACATCATCTGTCTACATATATAAATATACACACATGTTTGTAACTACATACATGCATAATACTTATGCAGATCTGTAAGTTTACCTATACACATATATATTTAGGTCACGGACACGGACAAATATATATTTACCTTCAATAAAGGCTTGCATGTTATAGATATCTATGAGCTAAGAAGTATAGACACGAACACGTGACACGACACAGATACGACACGAACATACCGACACGTTAATTTTCAAAAAATGCAGGACACGACATGTGGGGGACACGCACGAAACATATAATTTTATATTTTTATTACGTGTTACATATATATATAAATATATCATTCAAAGATAATAAAAAATACAATATGACACTAATTCTTGTAAATTTATATGAGTTTTATTTGATTATTATATCTTAAGTTATTTTGTTCAAACTTATAATTAATTTAACATGTGTCTAATCAATTGACCCGTGTGTTTAAGCGATTAACACGTGCTTAAACGATTGATACATGTGTTTTTCAAGTGTCCAAAGAGTATCCGGGTCTTTAAAAAAAAATTTAAAAATAAGACATGTTTTGAAGAGTGTTGGACAAGTGTCCTAAGAGTGCCCAAAGAGTGTCAGTGTCCAACACTCACACAACATGGATACGTCACTTTCTTACAAGTGTCCTTGCTTCTTAGTCTATGCGCATATATTATATGTAACCAAAATATTTTTTCTACATATTATGGCTCTGTTTGGTTAATTTTTCTAAATTTGTTTTCTAAAAAGAAAATTTCAAAAACTATCAGTAAAAAAATGGAAAAAAAAATCTTATGATTTTCTGTCTTTTCTTTTTTGTCAAACTAGTTTCAAATTTTTCAAAAAGAAAACAAAAAACAAGGCCTGTTTGGTAATACTTACGTTTCCAGTTTATATTTACAAAAATTTTATAAACTGATTTTTGTTTATTTTTAGAAAAACATAAACTACAAACGCGTTTGGTTTGGACAAAATGTTTGAAAATTTTAAAAAATATAAACTAAAAGAGTGAGAAATGACGAGTGGTGGCGTGGCGGGTGGTGGGTGGTGACGAGTGGTGGCGGATGGTGGCAGCGGAAGACGGGGGGGGGGGGGGGGGGGGGGCGGGGAAGGATGTTATAGAGGAGGGGGAGGGGGGGGGGGGGGGGGGGGGGGGGGGGGGGGGGGGGGGGGGGGGGGGGGGGGGGGGG